TACGCATCAATCATCCTTTGAGACCAATGTTTAGTTTGTATTTGAATCCCCCAAAAAATTACAATATATCCACAATCATGATGTAGAACTAGTAGTGTATGTTCTATATAATATAATATGTTGATTATAGGCAGGATATATTGATAATATGCCAAGTGAAAAACATAGTAAGATACATCTGGTGGATCTGGCTGGCAGGTAGGTGAATTTCCCTCATTGCACATTGACAGGTTAACAAAAATAGTGAGCAAAAGTGTTATGGTTCACTCAAATATGATCTGAAATTCGCTTTGATTGTATATGAAAGTAGACCCAGTGTTGGATTTACCAACAAGCTTACTTTACGTCCTAAATTCTATATTTGATCTAAAGCAAGTTTTTGGAAAATAGGCGTCTGCCAAGCTAGAAATGTGATATGAAATGTATATGATTTTGTATTGTTATATTCACTATTATAAGTTGTTATTCTATTGTCTGATTGCAGTGAGAGAGCTGATGCTACTGGTGCCAGTGGACTAAGATTAAAGGAGAGTGGAAGTATCAATAAATCATTGGTAACACTGGGCAATGTTATCTCTACACTAGGTATGTTTACAGTATATTTGTGAGTATAATGCACACTTTTTTTTACCTCAAGTTTACATCTACTTAAGTAAGATGAAGCTGTGAATTATAAGATATAACCAAGCCACTATTACATTATTATGGTGTCACACACTTTTTTACCTAAAGTTGACACGTAGGTGAAGGTGAAGTTGTGTTATATGCCATATCACTCAGTATTATTGTGTCTGGGTTTTGCCAACTTGTTGATTGATTTGTCAATAGAGGTCCATGTTACATTTGTTCAGATTTTCTCAAGAGCAAGAAGTGGTGTGCAGTATATTTGCAATTATACAGTATTTCCATTTATTTGATAGATGGAAATTGACGGCTATCTGAGAGATCATTATTATCAATTATCTTACTGAAATATCTTACTCAAAAATATAAGAGAAGGAATACAGATATGACATGTATCCATTTTGAATTAATTTCTAGCTGAAAGTTGTGAGAATGATGGAAAAAGAAGAAATATATTTATACCATACCGAGACTCTGTTTTAACATGGCTACTTAAAGATAGTCTGGGAGGAAACGCTAAAACTATTATGATAGCTAGTAAGTAGAGATATAGATATCAG